ATCACTCTAACTATGTAATATAATACATCAGATTAGAAAGCCTGGGACATGATAGAAAAATTGATTTTATATATCTGAGTCCCACTGCCTGAATCCACCTTTGAAGATTTGGCCTATTGTTTCAGCAAAGGTGTATTTAAGAGAGATTTGAGCATTCTTCAGTCACTTTAGGCGCAGGCAAGGAAAGAATATCTGTGGGGCCAAAAGTTGTGGGATTCCACAGAGCCAAGCAAGGACAAGTCTTCTGTCACGTATGAGAAGACTAAGGGGTCTGTATTTTTCCCTCATCTGTGACTCCGAGAGGCTGGCTCTGGAATTAGTTGACAGAAACATATCTATATTTTACAGAGAAATATGGTACCAAAAAATCTACTAGTGATTCCACCCACAGTGTCATGATGCTGACAGTAATAGTGAGGTAGCTCTATCCACACACTGCTGCTTCTAAGATATGCAGCTGGCTTGTATGTCTCTGGCAGCGTGCTGTGAGTCAGTGCAGGTACGACCAGGTAAGATTTCAATTAAGTCACTCAAGAGACTTTGACATAAACGATGCCTTTAGACAGTCTGCCACCTGCTGCCATAGCTGAGGCTGACTGAAAGAGGTGTCACTGGGACCGCCTGAAGAGTGCACAAAGACTATTGTGCACTATTTAAGAAAGGGATTTTAGAAGTTTTCCGGTGAATGTGGTGCTGCCATTGGTCTCCAGGAATGAAAATCTCTGGCACCTGTGGGCCAGTTTTGAGATGGTGTTATGGAAAGTTCACCATGGCACTTTTGTGTGAGGACATAAGAAAGATGAAACTGGGAAAGAGGCAGATGCCTAAATGTGCAGTATCATAGGCTTCTGAAGAATTTATTTTTAAAATGGCTGTTTGGCTGAATGCTTATTTGTGAGCAGCCTGTGTTTAAGTGAACAGCTGGGGAATGGTTGTTCTTTAGCAAAAACTCTTAGCCACTATTTTCATGTTTAAAACCTTTTATCTGGACATTTGAGGAATATAGTTTTTATAGGTGAGACAAGAAGCGAAATATTGTGTGATAAGAGTTTCATGTGATTCTTATAAAATCTAGACAATCTGAGGAAGGAGGAAGAAGTTTGAACTTGGGTTAAAAGTGAAGCAGCAGTTGTTTCAGCATAGACCCTGGCTTTGTCTTTCATGTTTTTTCTTGGAAGGTGAAAGGTTGAATTTGTGTTTCTCTAAGTTTATGCAATGGCACATATTTATACTGCTGTATGGTGTAAGGAGATATGTATCAGAATTAGATATTTTAGATGTTTCCTAAGGATGCGAGGCTTAAGTGATTACTTCCTCTCCTTCTCTACTTGTCTCTATATGTGTTTTCTTTTTGATGCTCTCTTTCTTTCTTATCGTGTTAGTAGATGCAAAGATAATATGTTCTTATTATGTTCATAAGAATAAGAAACTAGATAGTTCAAGCAGCCCTCTGAAGTCCACCTTCTGAAGGAAAACCTGATTTATGAATACAAACCTTTAGAGACATGAGGGAATCCACAGGAGAGAACTATTATGAGTGTCCTAATTGTAAGAAAAGCTTTAATCAGACATCATGCCTAATTATATGCTAGAGAATCCAACTACAAGACCTGAATTCATAAACTAGGCTTCATTGCTTCCTTTGCTAGAAGGTCTTAAAAGAAATATATGCTTGTTAAGATCATGGGGAAGTTGATAAATTTTGTTGAAAGACTACTGTGGAGAGGCATTGTTATGTTTGGCAAACAGAGTGAGAAAGAGCAGCATGTTGGCTAGGTTAAAAAAGTGATGGTGGACTGGGATGTTTTGAGAAACTTTTTAAAACCAGAATGCATTGTGAATCAAAACCTGCAGAAATAATTAGCTTCAAAGGAGATAACAAAGCTTATTAAGCATGTATTCTTCTGTCCAGGGGGTGTAGTATCATATAATGGAGATATTACTGCTAATATTAGAACAATGTAATCAACAATGTCTTGAAATTAATGTTTCTGGACTTCACAAGCAGTTTCAATTATATTATGCTAATATGTTAAATTGGGAAAACAAAAGCTATGTAAGGAGGCTCTTAGATAACATTAGGGTGTTGAGCTGGTAAATGAATGAAGGGAATTCTACTTTAGTGGGAATAAGTGACTGAAAAACTGCTATAGGATGGTAATTGGGAAATGCCTTCAAACTAAGCAATCAGGTCTTGGGAGAACAATAAGAAGCCACTATAAGACCAGAGACATCACCAATAAATGTCTCTTTGGGGTGGAAGACAGAAAAGGTATCAATAAATTTTTGAGATTTTGAAACTGATATTGCCAAGCTTCTCAAGTACTGTGTAGGTGTCTAGTCACTCCGATTCAGGAAGGACACATTCCTCTTGACAGATAAGAATACCAAGGCATGGCAAACCCGTGATGTGAAAAGCAAATGGAAGAACAAATGAAAAATGGAGAAGGGATGTAACACTATGGAAGCACATCATGAGTATAAACTTCAGGGAAAAAGAGTATTTTCCCTCTTAAGACAAAGAGGTCTCACAAGATGAAATGGTCTTCCATTAGAAGGATTGTTTTAACTTAAGAAACACTGAGATTCCAGAGCAGCAAGGCAGCTTTATAAGTAGTTTTAAGCTTAAGTATGAATAGTGTGCTCTGATTTGCCAAGAATTGGTAGTTCTGGGTGTCCTGGCCTACAATGTGTCCTTTCTGGTCCAGTCTTCAATCTTCTACTATGATGTTGGCAGCAGCTGTAGAAAAGACACAAGGCTACTAGAAAAATAATTGGTAGGTAGAAGACAGCTATCTCTTCAGCAAGGGTTTTCCAAAACCTCTAAATATTTAACTTAAGACCAGTTATAGTTGTCTTAAAATGATTGTGTTGAGAGTTTAAAAGAAGAATCTCTGAGACATCATTATTAATGTTATGGTTAACTGTAGGAGATATGCATTAATATCCACCACAGGGAGGTGCTCCCAGGTAACTTGGTCACACCTTTCATTACCGATTAATTTTAATTAAATTTAGGAAGTGTCCTAAGGCCTATTTTCTGACTAACTTTCACAGAGGATTCTAGAGATTTCCTGGGTGGAAAGGTTTAGCAGATCCCTTGCAGAGGTGCAATGGCTCAAAGTGAGCTTGCTCAGCTGCTGGACCAGAGCAGACAGAGGGTTCTATTGTTACAGATCTGTGCTGTACAACAGCTGAGCTAGTTCATTCTGCTCACGACTATACCAGGCTGGGCAGATAACCAGCTAGCTAAAGTGTAGTAGATCATTCATCAACTCTGCCTCAGTTCTTTAATGCAAAGTTGAAAACATGACACTCATATTTATACAATACATTTTATGTAAAAATAAAATATATTTATAGAATAAAATATTTATGCAAGACACGAGATTTTTTTTTTGAAAATAAAGGCCATAATTCTGTAAACATTTGTGCAGATGCTTTGTATGTGTGGAAGGAGTCTCAAAACAATTTGATCCTACAATTTGCAACATCAAGGAAAAACATTTTTATAGATGCTGAAGGGTCAGATCTATTTCACAGACTCTTTGATCTTCTTGCTTGAATGGGACTTGTGGCAGTGAGAATTAGTATCATTATGGTGCACATTCCTGAATATTTTTGCTTATAAAATAGAGCTCATAAACTATATTTTCATTTACAAATGCATATTTGAGCTTTACAAAAAAAGGTAAATGAGCTCTACCTTGCTATGCAATATGTTTATCTGTAAAATGAATTCATCTTGAACACAAACTAAAATGTAATACATCAGAGACATGTAAAATCACAACAAAGATTAAAGTTTTGGTTTTGTAATAATTTAAGAGGTTTTGAGTGATCATATTATGTGCCATTGCTTACAGAGCTTTTTAATATCAAACAAATAGAAAATAAAAGAATTTTTCAGACATTCAACATGAAAGACTGAAAAATTATGAAAACAAAGAAAACTGCACTTTTGAACACACTATTTTGTTGACCTGGCTGTCATATGGCTACTGGGTGGCCTGCAGGTTTAATCCAGCTCACTGGGCAGTGTAATCCAGCTCTCAGGAATGCTTGGAGGTGCATCTGCACTTTACCATTTCTGGGAAGCTTGTCCATGGTGTTGGAGAGTTCAGTGGATCCGAATTGTAACTGGCACTTCAGAAGCTTTAAGTGCCACAAGGAGGCCGGATGCAGGCTCAAAGGCTGTGCTGAGACTGAGTTGATAAACTCTGCTGGACACAAACTGATCCTATGCAGGCAGATATCACTGCAGTAAATTATATTACATGTCTACCTGTACCTGGTTTGGGCTTTTCCCCTACTAATCAGAGAATATTGAATAACTGCCTAAATGGTTATCTTGTGCTATTGGTCTGTCCCCTCAGTATTGCTTGCTGTCTTTGAGCTCAAGACTGGGACTAGTGTGGTGTAACCAAATGACAGCTTGGAGCTACATTTGAATAAGGGCTTTCAAAGATAAAACCACCACTCTGGGTGTAATTGGCACATCCAGTTGATTGCGGTACAATATATTGATTTGAAAAGCAGAACTAATCAAAAAACACCTGATTGCTCATGTAAGTTGCTGTGTTTCATTTCAGTAAATTAAATTTAATGTGAATTAAGTCTAATTTAGTGACAATGAAAGGGCACTGGCATGAAGGTATAGGGCTCATTAGTTCAAAGTTGCAGAGGCTTGATTCATTCTAGCTGGAAATATATTTTTTTTTTTAATGTCAAAATGCTGACAAAGAATGTAAACATACAGACAGCACAGAAGGACAGGATGTGATATGGCTGAGGAAACCAATGGACATAAGGTGGACACAATGTCAACACATGCCCAAACCTGTAGTAACAGGACTGAGCAGCTTAAAAAGCTGATGAACAACCTCATAAGTTGAGGTTGTGTATCTGAAAGATGGCAATCAACCATTAAATGATTGTTCCTATTGCAGGAACAACAAGATTGTGGTATGGCAACAAGTCTGTAACTATATAGGAATTACTTTGAAGCCTTTTGCAACTATTCCATTTTGATTAACTATATCCCATTGAGTGTGTGTTCTTCACACATGAGAGAATTCAGATGACAGAAGCCAAGAGAAGAACGTAGTTAATGACATTTTCCTCATTCAGGAATCCTGTCATAGAAAAATAGACTCCTTTAGGAAAAAGAAACATTTCAGAAAAAAAGTGTTAAAAGTAGTGTGCAATTATCAAATTAATATTACATAGTGATTACTGAAATCTTAAGTTTTTAAGGCAAAAATTTTGAGTTATTTTGATCTTTTATAAAAACATCAATTAGAACATCACAAACAACTAATTTTGACTGAAAAAACGAAACCTGGTATTTTTTCACATTTCAATACAAGTTATTTTTTTTTCTTTCATTTTTCTGATTCATTGTACATCAAAATCAACTGTAATAACAATTGCCATTGAACTGCTGCTTAAGTAGTTTTTTTAATGTGATCTTAGATGGGATTAAAGATGAAGACACCTTGAGAATGTGAGCTGAGTTACTTTCAGATTTCATGTACTTTTTTAAACTCATGACTACTTTACATGTACTGGATACAGGGATTCAATGCATCTCTATACAACTATATGTAGAAACCTGTTCTGAGATATCTTAAGCTACTGCTAGGTCTTTCACCTAAAGACTTGTTATCCAAAGGTTTTATGACAATTAAAATATGTGTTGAGATGATATATTTCTTGAGAGAAGACTTCTGTTTTAATCAGTGTGAGAATTAACATGGAGTATTTTGTATTTTGAGAGGTGCTAGCCTACCTTCAGTCTCACGCTGGCAACACATTTGGTTCACTGAAGTGTTTTATGCTGAAGGATCAGCCTATGTAAAGCTTATGCAGGGTGTATTGCTTGTTTCACTACATGAGGAAGTTGTGCCAACAGCAGCCTTATCACCCACAGATATAGTTTCAGCAACTGTAATAGCACTCTATTGCTGTCAGTGATAGAAACCTGCACACCTTCTACGCCTGATCCTTTTTTTTCCTAGGTTTCACTTCAGTGCTGTGCTCTCCAAAACATATCATTATGCTGGCTGCTTCTGACATTCAAGGGCAGAGACCTGGCTTTCCAAACACACAAGGCTTTGTGTCCAGTAGGTTGGTATATCCAGGGGAAGTTTGTGAAGAAGAAATGGATAATTTAAGAAAAAACGTTCTGTTTGAAAGACATAAATTTGTGTGTTCCATCCTAGATTGAATTTTTAATGTGGAATTCAAATGTGAGAGTGAGAAAAGGGTGTGTGTGGGGGAGTGTGTGTCAATGAACTATGGCAGGGACTTCAGCAGCATGTACTACTGAAAAATTAGTCTGTTGAAGATGATTTCAAGGTGATAAGTTTGCTTTGAGTAAATACTAAAAATTAAAGAATATTTAAAAGAATGTATCCAAATTAGAAAAGATTTATTATCTCAGGACAAAAGTAAATTTGCCTGCCTGGTAGAAAGGAAAAAAATTTTTAAGACCCCTAACCTATTTTTCAAGCTGCACAGCAGCCAGACTTAGTAGTCTCAGATAAACTGCAATTATTGTGAGCAAATGATCTTTCCTACTTGGAATACTGCATTATTTATTACACTTATTTCAGTGGCACCTGGAAATGTCAATTTTTTGCATATGTATTTAAAATAACTCTGACACCATTGAGTTAAACATTTGCTACTTTAGATACAGTTAATCTCTGCAAATGTAGGTTTTTTGTACAGTAGATAAAGCAGTGACATGACCATATAAATTACTACTCCACTCTTCTGAAAATTTTTAAAGATAGTTTCTTTTTGGTAAAATTACATAGACGTAATAAGCCCCCCTTTCCAGTAGCAAATATCTTAATCCGGAAAATCAAATGATTGCTCAAGGAGTGCTACATAATTATGTTGCTAAAACCAAGACAAAGTAACATCAACAGATCAGGCTCTTGATGAAACCTACTGCAAGAATAAAAAGGATGACCCCAGATCGATAAAATAATGATCAAAGACTATGGTACACTTGGAATGTTCTCTTTTTATTTTAAATATACTTATTACAGTAATTTTTTTAGGCTTATATAGAGCACTATTATTTACATGATTCAGTGTTTATCCTTTGGGGAGAATTCCAGTGCTCAATAAGTAAGAGTCAATGAGCTGCTTGTTAACCGTCTTGTAATCAGTGTTCTGAAATATTAATTTCACATAAATGCTGAAAGTCCTTGAAATAGTTACAGTTACCTGTAGTTTCATTCAGTAGGTATCTTCGAACTGCAGTTAAATTATGTTGAAAACTCTGAACATAGCTATAGGTAATCAGAAGAAGGTTCAACAACAACATCAAATTAAAAAAATACCAAAAAACATCAGTGGCTGACCTCTACAGTTTTCAGATGCATCTCAGGGTGATGGTAGTGTTCAAAGGGAACAAATAACCAGTTTTTGGTAAACTGCCTGTTATAAAATGTCTAGATCATGGGGCAAAATATAAAATCAGTAATAAATAAAAAATACATTTTTTTTCAAGATCTCCTTTTAACATGGCATCTTAAAATGTGCCTGCAGTTAAGAATGGTTTTCATTATTTTTATTAAAATTCAATTTTCCATGGTTGCTGTTTCTTACACATGAATTTATGGGTTATTTGTACTATATAAAACACATAAAAGATTAGATTGTCAGTATACAGAATACTATTAGCTGAGAACATGAAGAAAAGGTTCATATCAGATCCCACCGAATGTTATATGTGTAAGTTCAAATGTACAAGAAAGGGACTTTGGTCTTGATCTTGCACTAAGAGAATAAATGTAGTCCCTATGTTTCTATGTACAAAACTTACTATCTCTACTGAGATCACACCAGTCCTGTGCTGACAACCATCCCATTTTCATGTGATTCACCACAGAAAGTGAGTTTGAATCAGGACAAGCAGCTTGTTTTTTTCTCCTAATTCTCATCAATGTGTTTCAGAAGTTAAATCCATGGCACACTGTGTGAGTGGCTGAATATCTATGATGTTCAGCTATGGCACACAGTTTTGTTTCCCCAGCATACACAAAGACAGCAGGGAAATGCAGCTCATAACTATCAGGAATTTATCTTAGGAAATGTAACATTTTCATCATTATCATGGTGTAGAAACTATCGTTATTGACAGTGTGCCTGTTTTTAAATAAAACATCATTGATTTTGGTAGCATTACAGTTTGGCAAAGAATAGTTTCTGAATTATCTGTTACAGTTTTGAATCTCTGGCACATTTAAGACACCCACCCACCTATTCAAATAATATTTTAAAGCAAAATCAATGTTTGATATAAAATAACAGTTGTGTTGTAAATGTGGAAAAATAGCCTACAAAAAATAAGTATAAAAGTGGTCTCAGATTTATGAATATGTTTTATATAAACAAGTTCAGGTGACTAATCTGTGTTAGAAATGGCCCTTGGTAGGCTGTGTCACAACAGAACATCACATTTTTCACAGTTTACAATAACACAGTGAGATTCACAATGTGATGACACCTTATATCAGAAAAATAGTATTTTACAAACTATACATTTGGCATCTATTTTTAGACTTTTTTTCTGTTTCTTTTCCAGTTCTCTTTTTTCTTTTTCCTTTTTTTTTCCCTTTTCTTACAAAATAGTGCAAAATTACAGTGCGTTAATAGAAGATTTTGCAAATCCTAATAAAAAGTCAGTATATTTAACTCTTTTGTTCATTCACTGGAAACAGTTTGGCACATTAGGATTTTGTATAGATGGAAAAGCTTCTTACTTGCTTCTCTTCAGTACATCCATTGAATCTTTAAAACATTAAATTGCACCAAGGGAGTTAACTTTCCAAACGTTTTAATCTCAGCTCTTATAATATGTGTAATACAAAGTGTCAAAGAAAATGTAGATTTTGCAGTCAATTCATTTGTGAAACTGCATATATCAGACTGGCTTTTCTTATCGTGTTATAAAGAGAAGGATTGATGGGAACATTTGTCATCTCATGACTGCTGAAGTGTTTATTTACAGTTTCAAGTTTCTAAAGGAAATTTATCCCAAATTTATATATATAAATATATGTATATATAAGTGTTGGTTTACCATATATCTTTCAAATTTTGCTATCAAAAATGTCTCTCTATCTGGATCCAAACAAGCTGTATCAAAACAGGGGCATAAAGTTTCATCGAATCCTCCTTTCCACTGGACTGATTAATGATAAAGAATAACAAACAATTGCTTTTGCTGCCAATTTGCAATGATTAAATTATTTTCCTACTAATAATTTACCTAGGATTGTTAATGAAGAGTTCCCCCATGTATCAATACTTCATTTGCGCAGGCTGGCACGACACCTCAAAAAAAACAAACCAGTTCTCTTATTTCTTGGAACAGCAAAGTCTTCTGTGTAATCATAAACAGGCAGAGTATCAGCTGCAGGAGTGAGGGTGTCCTAAACCATCCTGGGAGTGTGGTAAGAAATGCACAGAAGGTGCCAGATGAGTTGCAGGTCAGTTCTTTGCCTCCTTGGCTGAAAGCAGGAATGAAAAACCTGAGACCACTGAATTATCTACTAGAGGCTGCCAAAGAGTGGTCTGTACCGTAATTCGGGTTGTTAACCTGAAGGTGAAAGGCTCACAGCTGGATCTCTAAACTGCAACATGAGCAAATCTCTGAACTATTCACTGCACAAAGACCATTGGTTTCGGTTAATTGTGTAGAGACTATGGTGACACAGAAGATTACCAATTAATTTTGTTTGTAATAGAGTAATGAACTGACTTATTCCAGAATGAAAACTGCAGGGTGATGTCTGTAGGCCTAGTTATTTCTCATAACTCTATGGTTTTATCATGTGTATAATTCTGTGGCAATTGTGCTATGAATTAAAATTAATACTGCATGGTTTATTTAATCAAGTTATTTGCATTTCTGTGCTTTATATGAACAAATCTAAGCAGTATGCATTTTACACCAATTATCTGAAGGTAGAATTGACTAGTTTTTCAAATATTAGAAGGGAAATATCCATGAATAAGATGGTTGTTTTTTACCCGAACCCTTCCACCCTTGGCTCAATCCTTTGTTACTAGCACAGGAATCTCCCAAATCATCTACTAACTCTGGTGGAATATTTGTCCAAACAAGGAGTAAAATATAAAGCTGAAATGGCTATCTTGTATAAATCATATTGATTGATTTCTAACATTTAAAAATCACTTCTGTTAAAAACAAACAAAAATCAAAAACAGAACTGTCAGCCAAAATTAATGAAAAAGCCCACCAGCTAGTAGATATACAAATACTTCCCCTGGATTCTCTTCCCAATAAAGTACTAATTTTGACCAAGGAAACACTTCAGTATCTGATTATCTTTCACCGTTAGGTTCAAATAGGTCAGAGACAGCTCTTTTCCCCCCTTTGCACACACAGTGATTACTCACAGTCTCACCTAGACTGAACCAAATACTTTCCTCCAGAAGGAAAATCAGATATGGCTAAGACTGACACACTTGGTCCAGATTAAAAGGATCCACACATGACCAGGTTTTATGCTTTCTTGCTGGAACAGTCCTCAAAATACTATCTCAGCAAGTCTCAGCTGCTCTCACCTTACGTCCCAGGGAAGTTCAGTCACCCTGCAGAGCATGGGCAGCCTGTGGGCTGGAGTGCTGTGCTGAGGGGATGGTATGAAGCAGTGGTGGCACATACAGTATGCTGAAGCAGAAGAGTAGGGCCAAGGTTTATTGGATAGACACCAAACCAAAATCGATCCAAACAGTATTCAGTGTGGACTAGCAACTCTACTCACTGGATGGATGCACATGAAGCAAAAGAAACCACACAAACTGGTCTCTGTTGACTCTAGATTGCACTCTTTTTCACAATTCCTAAAGGCAATAAAAGCCAAAATGCATTAAAGCATTTAAGATGTTCTTAAAATTAAGCACAGGTTTAAGTCTCATAGTTATCTGCATGTGCTTAAGGTCTTTCTTGATTAAAGTCCAGAGAGCATTGCTGCATGAAGACTTCAAAATCGAAAAAGGAAAGAAGCATAGAGACTCTTGAATTTAGATAAGAAGTATGATTAGTTTACTGATAGACTTCACTCTGCATCGAAAGTTATTTATTGTCTAATGGAAAAGATAATACAAGGGCAACAGCAGTCCCATTCTTGAATAATCAGGAAGAGTCATTGGTTGTTTAACTGAATCTTGCTTGATTAGAGATGGGAGAAAATTACGGGGTTTTTTAAAGCTTATTTTGAGAAAAGTATATGAGTAGCTAGAAAGAGTAAATAGTTTACTGTGCTCAGTAGTGTCAATTTCCTGTGTCTTGCTCAGCCTGCATGAACTCTACATTCCTACTTTCTCAGTCCAGCTTTTACTTGATCTGTTCCTTAAAAGACAAACATGGGTCTGGGTGTCTCACACATTCTGTGAGTCTCAGTCAATGTGAGGACAGCCATCTCATATGGGAAGAGGCATTCAAAGGAACTGGCAAAGGGATTCACTAAGGAATGGAGATCTCATACTGAGCAAGAGCTGCTGTGGTTGTTGAGTTTCTATGAAATGAAAGGGAAAGTCTGCTTTAAAAGGATCTGCTGCCAGTTTTGTCTGATGTGTGTCCACATTTAGTGGGGTAGCAATGCATCTGCAGTTAGTATTTTATCAGGTTTGGGTCTTATTTTTCACACTGAGAAAGGAAGTAATACTCATAGCTCAGTGCACAACAGAGACTCTAAACCCATCTAAAATAAGCCATTGTAAAAGAAAAATAATGATTACTTTCTGTCTTCGGTGGCTGCCTAATTAACTTGAGACAAGGGCATATGCAAGATTATTGTGGCCAGCAAGTAAAATAAACTGAATGTCTGAAACAAAATTGTTGAGAAAATAGTACTGGTATGATTTTTCATCTTCTAGTTCTCTTTTCTGGTTCAAGTATCTTCTTTTGCCAATGGTACCAAAACATAATATTTTGTTCTCTATTTTGTCCAATTCCATGTAATTTAGCCTGCCATAATTAGTTGATTTTGTCCATTCTCCTTCACAGGGATTGGCTATTTGAATCTATTTATGCTAGCTGTTCCTATAGAGTAGCTCACTGAAGAAGCGCAGACCTCACAATGCTGAACGTCACATATAGACTGGAAACAATCTTGAGTTAAGCATGTAGGTCTAGGTAGACAGCCTTTGTGCATGCATGCATGGAGTACAGATGTTTTACATCCATTGCTTCACATCATTTACCACATAGGCTGGCCATGCCTGATAATGCTTCATCTTTTGTCAGCAAAGCTCTTTATATCCAGAACTGATTAAGGCTTGATACCTGCAGATCACCTTAAAATCTTCATGAAACAGCTGGCTCACTTATGTTCTAGCCCACACTCTTCAAGGTGTCAGTGAGGCATTAGGATCATTTACATTTTTTAGGATTTGGTCAGGATTCTTCTCCATAATTCTGGATTAGATTTCTCTCCTATTTCATTAATCCTTGAAACAGTTTTAGCAGTGTGTCCTCAATGCAATGTATACAAGCATTGTGTGGAGTTTCTGTGAAGAGATTAACCATGCTGATTGGATCCTGTGCTCAGACAGATAAAGACATTACTTACAGTGTTAAAAATCAGTGTATATCTCAAAACTTTCCTGTGTATACACTGATCCATATTTGTAGCAACAAGTCATGTATCTTATTTTGCTTGTTTGTTATTATTATAAGAAGTTATCAGCTGAACTTGCTGCCAAGAAACCAGTCTGATTTGACCTAAGGACTTATAACACACATCACAACTTCCGTGATCTGAAATGAAGAATGAAATTAAGGATTGTGCACATTTACCTTCCAATGAGATCAATGCAAAGAACTTCCAAATTCCAGCACTGAGGGAATCAGATTATTGAGCCAAACCAGTGGTATGTTTAGTGATAGAATTTTTCAGTCCTCCCCAAAACAAAATACTATGATGTTGTCTAGGATAGACTCTAAGCTATAACCACTTGCCTTTGACATGAAAAAATATTACTCACATTTCATCCATGTCAGCACTTCATTTTTAGAAAATTCAGTTTTGTCGTATTGCATTACTTTTCAATGTAAGCTCATCTTGTTTCATTCTGGAATGCTGGTGATTCACATCCTATTGAAAACTAGCTTTTAAAGAAAGCAATAAATAGTATAAGTAAATATCTGGATCAGAATACAGCTTTTGAAGCCATAGGGAGAGAAGAAGTGATTCTATCACCTTTTCATAGGGTTTTGAGTTCTAGAAATTTAACTACATTACTCTTACAGCCTTCTGTGTTTTTATTCCAGCCCGGAGGGAAAAAAATCTGACAAGTCACCTTATCTTTTGCTAAATATTTATCATTTTGTATCCCTTATTTTCTTACTTCAGCAATGTTGCTGTTGGTAAGTGTAATCTTAGTTATTTGATCAACTATTGTGCTTGATCAGGTTCTTTTACATCTCATAAGCTGAAGCTTTTCCAGTAGAACTTTTTTCTTTTTTTTTTTCCAGTAGAAGGTGTGATTTGTAGCACTTTGACCTGAAAATTCAAGCTAACTGGCTTTCATTTGATACCAAAACATATCCATACATTTATGTCATTAAACCAACCTTGAACATATAAATATATATGGCAGTCATATATTCATGTCTTAGCTGAAATAAAGAAGTAATAAAATCAAATGAGACATTAAAAGCAGACATTTTAAACAATCATGACAATAATCACAATTTCTTGTTTCCTATTAGAGCAAATTTAGTACTTAAGAACTTATTCATATTATCAAATATGGATAGCAAACCGATGCTCTGAATAGTGCATTTTTTTCACATAAAATATTGTCAGACCCCAAAATTCATTAGCACAGTAAGTTGAAAGGTTGGATGTGTCAGCCTGATAGCTTATTTACTGAATTTGAACATATTTCTCTCAGAAAGTTAACTTATTTGTCACTTTATCCCCCTTTCATGAGTCATAACATCACATTGTCTGCTACAATTAAAGTTCAACAGGTCCTTACAGAATTAAGGAAAAATTCACCATTATTCAAGAAATTATATGAGAGAAATTCCTAAAATTTCTCAGCAAACTATTTCAAAAATCCATTATTACCAACTGAATTCAGTGCATGAGGTTGATGTAATCAAACACCTTTATTAAAATCTGTTTATCTCTGTATTGGTGTAAAACCACTTAGAGCCCTGGTTCAGGTTCCTAATACATGAGACACAATGGGGTTTAAGAGCATGCTGCATTTGAAATCAAAAATTGGATGAATATGGGCTTTGTTCACTAAGATTGGTCGTTTTCTTTATATCTGACATATTGTTTCTTCAGAGGGTAAGAACAGATACATTCTTCAAGCAACTTAATGGGACTATTTGTTAGGAAGCATCTTATTTTTAGAAACCAAACCTGTTTGCTATTCTAATACCTTTAAAAAACTATAGTTCATTACCCTTAAAAATGGGGCCAATTAATGACACTTCAGTAATGAAAGTATTGTACTTTACTGTGCTCTTAAAATGTAAAATGCACATATGAAACTTTACTGTCTTTTGATATATTGTGCATGTTTCAGACTGGAACAGCAAATTATGTTCTTAAAGTTTTCTCTGTCATTTAAAAATTCTTTCCTCATTTTCCAAATAGGTTAAACAACAACTGTAATGTTAGAAATAAAAAACAATTGTTAAAAATGACTACTTGAAGTGTAAGACTGGGACATATTTCACAGAAAATGTGGGAAATCTTGTTTTAAATTTACAATAAACAAACAAATATTCTTCAGTGCACATAATTAGTATGTCTATTATGATTTGAAACTAAGTATTGATGACTACTGCTGCTGATCTTTTAAAATCTCATACAAAATATAAATAGGATAGCCAAGAGGGAACCACTGATAAACCATGACACAATATTCTCTTTTCGTTCCTTTTTTTTTCTCTTTTCCTTTCCTCTCCACTTGGACTGAAGTTCCTTCTGGCTTCTTCAAAAAAGTGCACACACACACACACACACACACACACACACACATTAATTCCAAAACCATTTTTCTAAATTTCCGATGGACTTGTATTCCTGGTGTCTTTTCACATGATCACAAGCAAGACATGCATGTGATTCCCAGAACCTAGGAAGATGCACTGAAAAATCCTTCTTCCAGTTGAAATAACTAAGGTACATCTTGTTATTTTTGTCAAGCATCAGAAGATATTCTGCCAGTTCTCTTGGGGAGAGAAAATCTTCCACATGTATGAACGAGTCTGCTGGAATGTAATTCTCATAATTTTCTCTGGAAGGGCCCAGTACAACCGGTACTGATCCAGCCAGAAGAGCATTGTAAAGTTTCTCAGTAATGTAATCTTTGTGGATTGAATTTTCAAAGGAAAGGTAGAATTTGCAAGTGGAGATAGTTGGAATCAAGTTTTTGTCATTGACGTAGTCTCCGAAGGCTTGTCCGTAGGTGTGGATTTCAATGTATTTGCTAAGCTCATTGTAATACTTGACTCGAGCGTGCTCGGGGTTCCAGTTACTTACGACCCAACAGACCAAGTTTTCCTTACTTGGTACTTCAAATGTGAAGGAACTTGTACCAACCATCATGAAGCCATAAGGCACCTGAATATCTGAATCACGCCGATAAGTCAGGGTCAGGTTAAAGAGGTGTTCAATGCCACTCTTTTGTGGAGTATGAGTTGGAGACTCCAAGTTCATCCAAATCCATTTCTGGAATGGTGGCCTGGCTTGCTGAGGTAAGTTAGTCAGATCCCAGCTAATGTCCCTGTGATGAATGAGAACAGCATGGGATCTGTTGTATAGCGAGCGGTCAGTAGTCAGATGGCACCCGGGGATATTGAACATTGTTTGGCAGGATGTTAAGTCGAAGGTCTGGCCAAATGGCCAAACCCAGATCAAAACAGTAGTTTCATTAAGATTATCAGTTTTGGAAGAAAAGAAGTTCTTCATTTTCAAAACTGAACTGGCGGATTCTATAGGACCAGAAATCCAGCTATTTGTTGGTTTGATATAAATTAATATAAATGCCATGAAACAACCAAGGACAATGAAGACAATAAAAAATGGTCGGAAAATTCCTTTAGATGTCGATGTCATAATTTGTTCTGAGAAAAAAGAGAGGAAGAGAAAGAGATAAAATAACATCAGGTATTAAATTACATATATATGTCCTGTTAAAGCAATCAGATATCAAAATGAATAGAACTTCTATAACAATGATCTGTAACCTTAGAAATTGCCTTTGAATGGAGAGGACATGAGTTCTTTTGTGCCATTCGTGACAAAGTGGTAATATTTCTCCTCTTCACATTAAAAGTTCATTGACATAAATTGAAACCAGGATTTTAATGCATCTCATACTTGAGGTGAATCAGGATACATATTGAGAAGTTTTTTTTGCTTAGAACCTAGGCCGAGCATTTGAGACACACAATACAGACAAAATTACCCTTTGATTCTATCTTTGTGTCCGTGTAAGGAATACTATGCTGCACATTAGCATTCCATTCATATTTTTGTGTATATGGAAGATATAGGATTAGAGGACTGAAAAAGAAAGGAACTAGAACTTTAATTCTGTAATCAGTAAGCCTGTTATGAGAAAACTAGTTCATGCCTTATGGCTACAGAAGGATGAACATTTATGCCTTCTCCAAAGGACTCCTAAAATAACTAGGGAAAGAAAGCAACAATAGAGGCTTCTCCTGTGCAGCCTCACATAGTTCCCACATGAAGAAAAATAAAGAAAAAAGAATAAAAAGAAGTCCTTAAATATTTGATTAAGTTTTTACGCCCTGTGTTAAAACTTAGGAAATGCAGAACTAGCTGCATCTTTGTGAGGTATTGTTTTTTTCCATAGGGAAAAAGGGACGAGGAGTTTATTATTTAGTCTCCTTTGTCCTCTCTCTGGTTGTCTCTTCTGGAGAGAAGTGATCAATCTCTTTTCAGAACTTCTTTTCCATGTGTTTTTTTGTGAAGCCTAACAAAGTCAGGGGTTGCTTGTTGCTAACCTTTGCTCCTGAATATAGTCACAGAAAGCAGAAAGTCAGTTTCAGGCCTTTTAAACCACTTTCATAACTCATCTCCTACCTGTGAAATAAGTAGCTGAATTCAGAATACAGACATAGTAGAATGTGATTCAGAGATCCATTAATACCACATAACTTTGCTGCTTTTGTGAGTATAAAAACTGATGTGTGAGTGTAGCACTACAGTTACAAGGAAATGTTTTCACATTCATTGTTGAGGAAAAGGAAAGAGGAGGGAATGTCATGTTTAACTTTATTCTAACACTGTATCTTGAGGAAAAGGGAATTTGCCACAGTGTCTCCCCTTGTTTTGGGAAGGTAGATGGTCTTAATTCTGTTTTTGGTTACTGTGGTGCATTAACCTTTTCTGACTGTCAGACACCCATCCAACCACTCTCTCACTCCCTCTCCTCAATAAAATAGGGGGAGAAAATAAGATGAAATTCTTATAGGTTGAAGTAAGGACAGGGACATCACTCACCACTTACTGTCACAAGCTAAACAGAATCATCCTGGGGCAAAATAATGTAATTTATTGCCATTTAAGCTGGATCAAAGACAAAAATTAAAATGAAATCTTCCCCCTCAACTTCTTCACAGGCTCAACTTCCTCCTTCATTCCCAACTCCTCCACTTCCTCCCTGCCCCTGAGCAATGCATAAGGGATGGTGGCTTGTGATCAGTCTGCAATGATTCCTTTCAGCCGCTCCTCCCTCCTCACACATTTCTCCTGCTCCAAATTGCGTCCTTCTTATAGAATACAGTTCTTTCAGGAAAAAAGGCTGGGCTCCCCAGCTGGGATGCAGTTCCTTCACTATACATCCTCCTGCTCTAGTGTGGGGTCCTCCCCAGGGTACCGTGTGCTGCAGGCGAATCACTGCTCTAGTATCTAGAGCACCTACTCCTGTGCTCACAGGGTTGTTCCTCACATTTCTTCCCCTCCTTCCCCATTGGCCGTCCCTTTCTTAAATACATTTTTCTGGAGGTGCCACCAACCTGGCTGCAGGGCTGAGCTGTGCCCTGCAGTGGGTGTGTTGGAGAATGCTGGAATTGGCCATGTATGGCACAGGGCAGCCCTGGCTGCTCTCCACAGGGTCATCTGGCAGTCCCGACTGTCAGCACCTGGACACAAACACCTAATACAGGTATATAAAATGTAAGTGGTATGTTGAGTCTGGTGCTTTTGTCTAGGCCTTTTTCCTTATGTTTAGTTTAGCTGGTCCTCTCTGTATTCAGCAAAATGATCCTGAGGGGAGTAAAGGAGAGGAACTTTTGTGTCTGTGACGTTTCCACTTATGGTCATCAGTTTAAATCCCTCTGAATTTACAGTAAGATCACACTGGCTTTTTTTGGCCTATGTTGATTGTTGCTGGCAAATATGTCTAGAAGGGAGGTTATGACCTATAAGACCCAAAGACTGCTTCCTTGCTTCCTTGCCTTACTACAGTGAAAGCAAGAATGGGATCTCTGAGGAAGAAGGGATTTAGGCTGAACAGCTCCAGGAGATAAAACTCAAGGAAAAAACAAGAGGCTGAGCTGATATTCATGTAATGCTGTTCTTTGTGTTACTGAAACCAACACACAGAATAAGTATAGCTTTTCACTGAGCAGATAGCATGAGCTGAGTTTTGACAATAGGTTGGGAGAGGTGTCTATTCACAGGGACTGATCATTTTCTAGGGATTGAAAAGGGCAATGAAAAATCAGAAAAGGACTTTAACATTGTGCCTGGTAATGTAGTCGCCCTCCGGTTAAAAAGCTTTTTGACTCAAGTCACTCTGATAGGGATTGTTTTACACTAAGCTCTTTCCAACTAATAAAACCCCCCTGCATCATCACAGGGCAATTCTTGCTACACAGAAAATGACCAGACATTGTGTATATACTTTTCTCTGCTTGAAATTTTAGTGTGTCCACAGTGTTGCATTTGTGTAGGAAGCTTTTGAATTGTAGTGCCAATGTGAAGGTAAACACTCGTTGTCTCTGCTACCCTGAGTGCCATTATTAACATTTCACAATGTTAAACAGGGGGATTTACCTATTTTTATCCCTTCTGGATCGATTTCCTCTCATAGCTTTGCTGTTCTTTGAACTTATGTGCCCTCTCCTGATCTGGGATCATGGCTGTTAGATTTTGCCTTTTGCCAAAGCATTAGCCTACATCAAGGATAGTCCTTCATAATTTTTCATCCTTTGGATTCAGAGAACTAACCATTTGTTATGCAGACTCATAGATCCAGTAGATGTATAGGCATCACTGGCATGTTTTGCTTTGAAAGCACTGCTAATGGGATGGTGGAAAAGGATTCTAAAAGCAAGTCCCATTAAAAACTTGAATGAGAGACTTGCAAGGAAGCAGAAGACTTGAGCAGACTACTAAAATACCCCACTTAGCTATACCCTGAGGATCTAGGCAGGATTTTTTTCATGGAATTCTATTTTTCTATTCCATTTTGTGTTAATTCCAGTAATAACTATAAAGATGTACACTGGGAATAGCAGTAATTTTTCAAGATGAAGGACTAACAGAAGCAATAATTTCTATGCACCATAAGGCAGACTGAAGAACTTCCGGAATAGAACAGCAAACTCTGCTTTCATGGCTTTTGGGACTGAGTCCTGTACATAGATAGGAAGCAGTTTAGTACAGTGAAGGTATGTGGTAAACACCTGTTGAGAAACACTTTTTTCATAGCATAAAAAAATGGTTTGGGTCAGGAGGGATTTTCTTGAGAAGCAGCTTGTCTGTACTGCTAGGACATATAGATTGTGGTCCACTAAAATTCTTAGAATATTTTCTCATCATATTTTCCAAAATGTGAAGTCTTTTCCATATTTCTTTATTTCCTTCTTCTCTTTTTTTTTGCCCAAGAAAGTGATCAACCTCCCACTGTAATTGTCACTATAAAGGTGACACCAAGGAGACATTTGTTACAAGACATCCAGCCAAGTAACCTTAGCTCACCCTTCCTCTTTCATGGCTTTCCTTCTACTACAGAATCACAAATTTCCTTTTTACAGATCCCCTCCCCCATGCATGCCAGACTCTGAAAAGAAAACTTTTTCAAAGAGATGTGTTTACTGAGACTTTTGCCAGCTGGAAGAATTCAGTGCTTTTGATAGTTTTGTTATAAAGTGTTATAGAGTGTTATGACATAGCAAGTATTTTCTAGGTGCTTTTTTCCCAAGTTGAAAGTATAGTATTTCATCAGTACAAGACCGTTTTTCTCCGTACAAAACTAAGCAAGGCTCCTTTTTAACTGCAAAACTTGGCATTCCATCAGCACACAACTCCATTTAGTAGCAATAAAAACCGGGAGATAGTTATGGTGTTCCAGCAATGTTAACACCAAGTATACCAGGCAAGGCTTGCAAAAATATATCTATTTTGTGAATGCACTGCATTCATTAAGAAACAAAACAGAATTTTTTGTAAAGTGTTTTATCACGACTTTATTGCAACTGGGACTTCTCAATCATTCCAGAAAGAAGAGCTGTGGCTTTTTTTTCTGGTTATGTGACATTGCAGGCAGGAGAAAATGCAACCTTGCTGGTCAATAATATCAATGTCCCTGGTATATTCTTACACCAATTTCCCTGGTTTCTCAAGATTTTGCCAATAGCTGAAATACATCACTACTTGCAGAGATATAACATTCATTAGTAGTCTAATACTGAGATTTTCCAAAAGGAAAATAAAGCTGAAGCCAAGATTCTTGAAAGTGTGGACACTGAATAATGAATAAAAAATCACTAGTTACTTTTCTCATCTTAGAATTTTAAGCATTCAGGGCTAACTTTTGTCTTCATCATCATTTGGTCTCAGAATCACTCAAGTAGAAATAATTAACAACCTCAAGATAGTGTCTGAGGATCACTCCTGGAATCAGAATGGGTGTTTCTGTTACAGTGAACTTACTAGGATTGAAGAGCAGAGGGGCATTGAGGCTAACGGAAGTGTCAGAGGCCCATTTAGAAGCAGGCAGCTAGCAGGCAGCTAGCAGGTAGATACTCTAGGACTATAAAAGAACAGTTGAATTCAGAGGGAACTAATAGGGATGTCAGGCAAACAATTG